GTGGCGGATCAACCTTCCCCATGTTCCGATCGGTCGATCGGTCGGTCCACCGCGGCGATCCATGACGGTAGTCATCGACGGGTTGATGGACCGGACGAAAGCAGACGTAAGGATCGCAAGATCGATTCCGATTCCAACAGGGTGGTCGTCAAGGAGGTCAGGGAAGCCGTGCCGGACGGCGGTGGGGCCGGGATTTGCTCTAAAACTCGGCCGAATGTCAGCAAGTCTCGCGGCGATTCTGCTTGTAGGTCATCGACTGACCACCTGAACATCTGCCAGAACGATTCCAAAAGTACCGATATGCGGCTTGTCTCGTCGGCCATTAAGGTACTTTCTATGAAACTACAAAGTAACTGCAATCCGAGTTCACAATTGGCGTTCTTCTCGTTAATCTCGTTATTAATGCATCTATCCTAAAATTCAGCTTATGAATTTTAACGTATTTTTCAACATACGAACATTAATTTCGCAACAACCAACCTCGTCGAAACTCCATTTGGTACGCAAAAAAAAACAAGTAGAAAATGAGTGTTTGACTAACTAATTTTTGTCAGCCATCCAGCTGCCTGTCTGCTGAGATTTTCGTCTAAGAGCCATAACGCTTTCGCTGCAAGGTACGCGCTTTTGCGTCGTTGAACGTGGGGATTTTTTTCTACCGTCGTGATTGCTATGCGTGATAACCGAGGTAGTAATCAAGATATGATAACCACGGTTGTTCATTTTTTATTTGCGTGTGCTCGACAAATATAGTAACTGTTGTACAGTGGAAGACGTTTCATTTTGTATTTCAGTACTACTTCGCACAGACAAGGACACATGCCTATCATAAAAAGTAATACGGTCGTTACTTTTATGTCTGTATCGTATCATTGCATTAGCACGAAAATACTGGATGAATTTTTTGAAGTCGGAAATTTTTACGTTGAAGTTCATGGGAATCTTATTTTCGAACTGCTAATTTACACCTGAACAGTTTTTATGCTACGGATTACGTTTACGTTTGTATGTCAGTGGATGCGTGTGTTGTACTGTCGAAAACTCCCGTTCGTTCAAAAAATACCTTACGCTGTTTACCACAGAATTCAAATCATTCTTATGAATACCATCAGTGATTTTTCTACCGTAGTCGTGACTGTCACATTAAAAGTAGGTTCTTGTAAAACAGACTTTAAAGTGAATCCGTAAATCATTTAAAACCCGGTTTTGGCGTTAAATAACTGTGTTAATAATCAAATATTCGTCAGGAACTCTCGTCTTTAGTTCAGTGGGTCGACGTAAGTTTACAGACCAAATGTCAATTAGACAGT